ACCAATACGTCCAATTGTTGCTAAAGGGGTCGATGAACGAGTATGTCTTACTAAGAACGGCACAAACCATCTACAATCTCTTAGTACAGGCGGCAAACAACACGAAGAAGTGGTTGGGCAACAGACCGTGAAGATCCCCACAGCAAAGATGCAGGACAGAACAAGTTTTTGTTTGAGGTCAAGTGAGGATCGGAAGAATATTGGAAAGGGGATCAAGAATATGAGCAGATCTGATGAGAGATTGACAACAAGATTCGTGATAAGATGGTTCAAATACGTAGCGCATTGGGCTATCCAAACAACGTCAGCGCTTGGGGGGATGATCAATATGGGCCTTTCATACTATTTGCTGGCGGAATCGCCCAATACTGGCTGAATGGTCGACACCATGCGGCAAATAGTAATGTCTCCATAACGATGAAGCACAAAGTGGTATATACAGCCGCGATCTTGACAAGAAACTTTTGCTCCGTGTTGATCCTAAGAAATCAATCAGTGATGTTGAGTTAGGAGTCGAAGACTATATCCGAAGTGGCTATAGCAAAGAGTACGTTCGACGACATGTGTGAGTGTACTGATTTCACTTTGACTTACGTTATGCGGGAGTACATCAGAAGAATGCATGCTTTGATAATCCAAATCGTACAGCATTGCATTTGTTCAACCACAAATATTGCCTTGGATCCACGAATACGTTCCTGAATGTTCTCGGGGGTGAATACCACATTATCTTCCGGGTTATTTGGATCGATCAGGTTATTTGGCGTGTTATCGACGACGATGAGGAAGTAAATGAAGACAGTATGCGTTCCCTGATCTCATGCGTGGTTAGCGCAAATCAGATGTGCGGATCAGTTGGCGTACCATGGCGAGTAGCACGAGGTAATCGTCGATCTGAAACCTCTTAAACGAGCCAAGTAACATCCTCCTCGAAACCCTAGGCCGCATGGCTGGTCAGCTCCTTGGCATGCCTAGTAATAGCAGACGACACCCTACATTCGAGCGAGGACGATGAGCCACACAACGCCGTACCACACCCACGACTCCGCCTCGAGGCTGAGCATACTTGATTGATTTGAAGTAGAAATCTAGCCATGCGAATATAGCATAAATTGAAGACAGAGCAGCACGGACTACAAGACCAGACTAAGCAGGTTAAAGGAAGAGATGGATGAGCATAGGTTTGTGATATTTGGTTCCATGAGACTCCACGACGGGCAAGGAAAGGCTACAATAACGCAAACAAAATGTGGCGCAGGTAGAGGAATCGTGAGACATAAACCGCTTGGAGTAGTCCTCCGATAAGGGAGAAAGCTCCGTCGAGACTGGCCAGTGGGGCAGTAATTGGGAGGGGGGAGAAGTGAAGGTTTGGGTAGCATACCTCGGGTCTCGCTGTACGAACGAGCGTACATCTCGTCGGCAGGAATTGTCGGGGTATGGTATGATGAACCGTTGGCGCAGCTTCCAATGCGCACACAAAGCTCTGCTCGCACAGACGGACAAGCCAAATGACTACGGTATCTCTGAATACCGTCATTTACCTCGGCTTTTCACCGTTTCCCAGCTCTCATTTGAGACTCGTGCTTGTCTTAGATGCTAGGCCAGCCGGACTTGCTTACTTTCTTGAGTTGAAAGGGATGAGCCACAGATATCCAACATTCCGATGACAAAGCTAAGAGTCTAGAGCGGAGAATTAGGCCGGATTCACTTACCAACATGAATAGGAAACGCTACTTATTCAAGACTTTTGTGTTTTTCTCTACCAAAACTTATCGTATGGCAACTAGTAGTTTTCCGGAAGCGCGCGACTGCCGGCTTTAAGCCAATGCCGATTTTCCCTTCATCATGTGCACTCATATTAATTGCTCTTGGTATTCACCAGGTCTCTGTCAGCATGAGTATTCTCAATTAAACAGTGCTTGTGGCCCGGCATTGTCCAGGCCAGCCAGGTTAACTAGGTGGCAAAACCCTGAAAGCACGCTCAAGATCTGACCGTATTACATAGCACCCCAAATTCTCAGAGAAAACCTTGGCCTCATGAAGCTAAAAGGAAACAAGTTGAAGATCCCCAAATATCCACCAACTGGTGCTGGTGCATAGATCTGGGGAGAAGAGGGTATGGAAATAAAAGGTTGAGCACAAGTACAGCATCTACCCTTCTGTATAATGACCCCCCCCTGCCTTCGGAGGGCTAGGATAAGTTCTTATTTATATACCGAGTGTTAAAATAGAATAGTTTTACTTATTTCTTTAACACAAAATAAGCTTGTAATACATCAGTATTTCTGCCAAAATAATAGTAATCTGAGTGTCTATCATTCAGCGAGAGCTCTCTGTAATAGCGTTAAGTATTCACGAAATGCCTGGTCTTCAGTAGATTCTCATCTAGAAATAAATTTTGCGGGAAAAGTAGCAGAGGCTCAGTTATAATAGAAACAAAGGCGCCGAATAAGCTGGATATGTAGGAGGCTACGATCTGGTCACACTATGACAACGATCCACCACCAGGTGTTCTTATGCGTTGGAAATATCATGCCTTTTTTTTCTCCTAGCGTACATGTTCTCCTGGCATACATGTTGTTGCGTTTCATTCCGTTTTTCTTTTCTAATGCCATGAAATATCAACCTGGATTAAAGAAACAAAAACATGAACACAATCTTATTAGTATAGCTCTCTATAATAAGAGTATCTAGGCTAAACTAGACTACGACCCAATGACTCCTTTGAAGTCGATAACCTTCGTCTTTTGATTATGATACTTCCGTGTAAATCCTTCGAAGATTTCTTGATGCACTCGAAATTCGGGGATAAATCGCAAACCGCAACGAGGGCGTTGCCGTTTAGCCACTTTGCCTGTATGTTTGCAGATCTCCCTAAGGCTATTTGCAGGATATGGTGCCTGAGCAGAACACCTGGTATCTAGAAATGCTCCCTTCTCGAAGTGTACTCATTCCCCAGCAAACAAAACAATCCATTGCAGCGGGTTAGATTAGGAAGTGTGCGTGCTATATAAAAACTCAGTTCATACCAATAAGAAGGGAAGAGAGGTAGGATAGAGCGTCTTCTCACTCTCGGGGTCAGTTGAAGATTGTCATATCCGTGCAGTGAGAAAATTTAGGTTAGCATTAGGAAGATGGTCGACAATGTACGTGGCTTGCTGCCAGAGGATGCTTTCTTGCATGCACCCAAACATCATCAACCTGTTTTATATGTGCTTTGTCAAGGAGCGAAGGAATCCAGCGTGTTTCACCGTGTCATGTGCTAGTATAAGCCATGGGCTGAACGATTAACCAAGCCATTTACATCCCAGGACAAGAAGGCTAACCAAATCGTGTGTGTGAAGAATGAGATCGATCAATAGCGACTCCATGTAGACTCAAAGAACGAATCTTGAACATTGGTATAGCAATCGCTTCCTGGTGGCGAGGGCCTTGCGCCTAACGAGCTGACAGCAATTCTGGAAAATCACCACCTGTGGCTGAACTATTACTTTGATCATATGACACTGATTGCTGTATGGGGAGTATAGGTCTGGTCATTCTTACGTCATTTTAGCCGGAGACAATGCCGAATATCAGTTTAGCTAGGGAAACGAAAGACAGCCGCCTCATTGGCTTCATGCTATTTACTAGGTGCAGTTCTGGTAGTGTAGACACCCTCAAGGCTCGGCATCGATTCCTGTCACAATCGAATCCACATCGGCAATTAGAGTTGAACGGCGATTTCTACTGATCGCCTATGGTCGGTGACTACTAACCGAAGAGGAATACTGCCATGGCCTGTCATCCCGCTCGCACTCGAAGTTTTGGTTGTAGAAACTACCTCGCTACATGCTCGGATCCAGGACGTGAAAACTCCACGTGGACGTCGCCGTTTTCCGGCTTTCGTGCTCGAATAAGGGGCACATGAGTTCGGCGATGTCAATCTTAAGAGCATAAGAATCAAGTTTGAGCTCGTTAGTGGTTTGAATTAGAGTTCTAAACCGTAAGCCAGTGGGAGGATGCGATAACCCAGCCTAAACAACCAACGCAAACGGCCACGAATCCAGCCCTTGCCGGCGAGAACTTCTTTGGATGCCATTTGGAGAGCTGGATGAGGTGATGATCCGAGTAGATACAGTCCTATCAATGGCAAACCATTCCATCTGGCCTTTTTCGCAGCTTTATTGTGTCAAACTTAGAAATAAGATCAGCTTGGAAAGGAACATCAAAAAGAGGAAGCTGTTGATGGACAATTCTTACAGCAAACCTTGGTATTCCTAAAAGATGAGCTCCGTCCAAATGTAGGCTTACGAGAGGTATACCATGGCTACAATAAGATGAGGGTTGGAAGATGTAGCTTCGTAGTGATAAGGCCACTTACTTTCCGTATCGAGGCACCCAATACCTAGCGAGCATAGGCACACTTGGTTGTTTATTTCGACTATTTGACATTCATCCCAAAGAGGCATCGTTTAAAAGACTTGTAAATGAGACATCCCGAAGTTCCCGAGGTGCCAAACAGGTGGTGGCGCCACTAAGACGAGCAACGCGACACTGACGTATGTACTCATGATTTGGCATTTCAATGAATAATCAACCCCGCAAATGGTCGAGACCAGCCTGCTTTGTGGCGTCTAAGTAAAGCCTGAAATATCCCGATTGAAAGTTTTGTTCCTTGTACTTGAACCTTTTAGGGGGGAGGGTCATTACGTGTCCAGCAACTTACCAGATATGTGCGCAAGTTGTAATGCAGGACGATTGGGTCAATCCTCGGGAACGCTTCGTCACATGTCGTCTAAATTTCACGGATCACAAACTTATTAGGATGTCCAATCGCTTAAATTCCTACCGTGCGGCATGATTCCGATGTTTTATGGGTATACTGACGACTGCCATCTTTGGGTTTGCTCATATTAAGAGCCTTCTCCCTCAACACATTGTACCGCAATACTGCAAACATCCATCGAGGGATAACCCAAAACTTACTGCATCAATCTTTACAACATCTCTATTACATCATGGCAGAAAGACATACCGTTTCAAAGATACTGTTTGTACTCTTCCGTCTCGGAGAGTTCATCAGTGCTGTCATAGTTTTGGGCATCCTGAGCCGATTCACCTACTTGGCTAATCTTGCCGGCGTACATGTCGATGGCCGTATCATCTACACTATGGTCACTGCCTGTCTTGGTATTGTGTACACGATCCTTCTATGCATCCCTATCGGTCCTCTCGTTGTCACCTTCCCATTCGACACGGTCCTCTTTATCATGTGGCTCGTGGCCTTCTGCCTCTTGGAAAGTGTATGGCTTGATCGTCTTTTTATATCATGGAATGTGAGGTAGCTGCTAACATATATGACTTATAGAGAACTGGAATTCATGCTTGCAGCTCCGGGTGGTACAACAACTACTGGGGATACTACTGGGGTCGATGGTGGCGTACTGGCCCAGTCGGAGTTGTGCGTGTCAATAATGCCGGCTGCTCCGATTATAGGACGGTTCTAGCGTTTGCGTTCATTGCTAGTATGATCCATATCGGCAGTACCCTTCTGGTTCGTCCATTATCTTATTTTCTCGTCGTTTAATTTACTGAGATATTAATACTGTCTTAGGGTGGACACCTCTATCGGACATGGAAGAATCGCGACCGACACGACGTCGCTGAGGTGCATGGAGAGAAACATCGACATTTCTCCAGGTAAGCCAGCCTTGGACTTTTGTGTGGTCTGCAATCCATTTAACTTTTATTCCCCATCATCCAGACTCAGGGGTCACAAAGGCGAGCCCTCAAATGCACCAGCCCCAACTGCGGTTTAGGGGAAGTCATGAGAGACAGGAAGGAGGGAGTGGCGGATTAATCAAGGAGAGTGAAAGAAATTTGGGTCCAGTGTATTATGGACTGTGTATATCAATTTGCTTTATTTCAAATTTACCTAAAGTGGGAATGTATGTATGTGATGTCTGGGGGACAGAGAACGATGGTTGTAATCTTTAGTGGCTGTTCTACATTATTAAAGTTGCTTTTCTCATTACTTTAATCCTTCATGTTGAAGCTGTAGGCTGACTCTACTACGTTCCTTTTTTCCTCATTGACAAAATACACCAACTCTCTCTAGTGATACTTGTTGTTATCATGAAACAATCTTGTTCATAAAGATAGTTTCTCATGTGTACTGTGATTGGAGATAAATGTGAATACCAGGCCATGCTTCTGAACTCCTGACAGATCATTCTGGTTGATACAAATATGCTGAACTGCCAAAATTAGTACTAATTCTGCACCCAAGAGGAGAAAAACTCTTTGGGCATACCCACTAAACAATGAAGCTACATAATGTCCTCCTCCTCAACGTGCACCTGTACCTTCATGCCCCATCCGTCATGTCCACCAATCCAATTCTTCTTCTTGCCAACTTTCTCTACTATCTTGACATTGTCCTGCAAGGCCTTCTTTAACTTCGCGGGGTCGTTTTTCATCTTCTGTACCGAGACCACCAGTCGCACACCGTCTTTATTCTTCTTCCGCCCAAGATCCGAGGCCCACTCCGATGACAAAACCACACGAGGCTTCGTCTCGTCGATCTTTCCTGCCGGATACAGGCGAGTGAGTAAATACCCAATGCGCCCTAGGTATGCTGTCCACCAGACCTCCTCTGGGGTGATCAATCGCCGAAGGGCGTGCATGAAACTAGTCTCACGAGGAGGCAGCTCACCCATGTATCTGGATTCCAACATTAGAGCGAGTCTCGCTCTGTCCTCGTGCGACACACCGCGGGTGGAAGCCAATAGTCCAGTGCTTGTGCTGTACAAGGCTGCGGTTGAGGCCAGCTCCTTATCCATGATACCGTGCACATACATAATATGGATAAATGCTCTCATAACGTGGCTGTCGAGGGTCCTAGGAAAGCTACGCCCGTCGAGCCTCGATGGCGCTGGAATAGAGAACTCCAGGAGCTTGAAGAGGGCATCTGCCGACTTAGGCGCGACTCGCTTGGTGTTGATCTCAAGAGGATCCTGTGCGCGGACAGTGGGACTAAGTTCTCTGAACAATATACCCTCGCGAACACCTCCCTGGCAGAAGTGTGCTGCTCGGAACCCATGGGGTATTGCCTGTGAGAGAACGTTGACTAGAAAGGCAACAGCAGGAACTTGCTTTCTCCGCCGATCGGAAACCCGGAAGACCTTGTCGGCGGATTTCGCAACTTCCTCTATCGCCTTTGTATCCTCAAACCTCTTTCGATCAACGGTATACCCATTGATTATTGAGATTGGGTGAGGGTGCTTCTCAAGTTGGCTCATATATAGCAGCAGATAACCCCATCCCCTGAATCCTCCACCTGAGAGGTATAAAGAGAAACCTCCCTCTGCCTCCGCATTTTCGACAAGGCTTAGGGGAACCTCCAATTCCTTGTAGGCGTTTGTGAAGTTTTCAGTCATCTCCTGACGTAGCTGCGCCAACCCCTTGTCAGCCTCCTCTTTCGATTTTCCTTTTTTGATATCGTCCATCCTCTGGGTCAAGGCGGCTGCTCCGTAGGGAAAGCTGATGGAACCCTTCACGCTGGTGCGGACGTTCCCACCCTGAGAAATGATCCAGGTGATTTGAGTGCTACCGCCACCCAGGTCCATCATGAGACCACTTATGTTTGAGAAGCCGCTGGCAACACCCAAGGCACCCACTCGGCCTTCAGTTTCCTTAGGAAGCATATCGACTGTGAGGCCAGTAGAAGACTGAATGGCTTTGATGAACTCGGCAGAATTAATAGCCTTTCGTGTTGCCTCTGTGGCAACAATGTGAATGTTGGATTCGAGCACTCCCAAATCGCTACATACTATCTTGAAGCGAACCAGAGCGGCGATAATATCCCCAATCACATTCTGCGGGATAGGAATTTGCTCTCCGGTTTCTTCGTTGTACTGAGAATCATAGAGAGATATGTCAACACGATAAACGTGAATTGTTGGAAGTATTCGAGAGAATGGAGGGGACAAGTCCGTGACCGAAAACCGGATCCCATTGCTAAAGGGCAAAGATTAGCTGCAATACACATTACGCCGCGCAGGGAAAGAAGCAACATACCTCCCCATATCAACGATCCCCCTCAAGTAGGACTGATCGGTCGCCTCATGCTCCTTTGGACACCTCATCTTGGGCGTAAATGTTGGGTTAAAGTCGAAGATCAAGTCCAAAGAGTCGATGTCCATTTTGCTTTTCCTTTTTACTTGGCATTGGGCCGCATATAAGATGGCGGAGGAATGGTTTGTGTGTGATTCTCTATGTGCTTATTTGCTTCAAGCTACTGCAAACTCAACAAAGTAAAACTTGACTACGAAACCAACCCTCAAGCATTTTCCATCCATAGCTGGAAACTGAAGCTGTCCATTTGTCGGCGAGCTCTCAGCTGATGCTTCTGTTTTGGGAGAACTAGGCCAATGACGTGTACGAAGTTTAATCTTCACTACCACACCACCCTCTACAACTGCCAGTTCTTTGACCCCGCCGCACTAGGCAAGCCTCCGAACACAGCTGAGAGGATGGAGCTAAACTTTGACGTCAGGTGAAGTATCATTTCCGATGTTTTCATCTTTCTTTCATGACGAGAAATTGCGGCTAGGGAGGGGTAACCAGAGTCCAAGCCCTCTGTTTGAAAGCCCTCATACTCATGATGATGCGCAATATGAAGACAAGCTCGTTAGCTGTCAAATTGACCTACCGTCAACTCTAACGTTTCACACCATCAGATGTGGCAGGATTATGGGGGGGAGGTGACAGCCCATTTGTTAGCTCACTTCGGCCGCCTGGTGGCTGGCCCCATAACCCAATAACTTGATGTAAGGGGTCGAGCTTTAGGTTCGGTCTGGTAACAATACATGGCAAATTAAAGATACCAGTCATACCGTACTGCGATAAGGGCAAAGGTAAAGGGGCTTGAAGGCATTCTCCATGCCTTAAGTTATCGCCGACCTAGACGTGGAATACACTTTAGAGTTTACAAACACATACCTCCGCGGTCTGGGGCCTAGTTCAGTATCCCAACTGGGAAACAGACTTGACAACTGCTCATACCTTACGGAAAGCTCCCGGTGAAAACAGGAATTCTTTAATGCTCTTAGCCACTCCGTAAGCGGCGATTGAGTTTGCAGGTGTATCAATGTCCGCATCAAAGGCCTAGAACGAGGCCCGTGCCAAAGCTACGCCGAGCTTTGTCTGCGCAGAGACTATCAGAGAGGATAAGTGACGCAGCAACTTTGTACTAGTCACTCGTCATGTCTGTCGGCCTGAGGCTATGATGCATCATATGAATAGTGTGGGAGTTCGGTTCACTCTTCGACAAATACAAGGCAATACATCCAAGCCAGGCGGAGGGTTTCCCTTTGTATTTGTTTGGAATCAGTAGAAGGATATACTAAACTGCCAAAAAAATCTAAACCGATAGCGGTTCTTGTGAGCCAACAATACGTTTTAAAAAAGCTTCATATGCCGTCCACCTACAAGTTGGATATAACCCCCTGAAGGATTTCAAACTCATTCAACCACCCAACGAATACACAACATTCACCTAGTCTCTTCGCTACACTTATTCATACATGTCGCGGAGTGAAACAGCTGGGTACAATCCTTGAAAATGTTGCAAAATAAGATATTATCGAAAGCTGTAACTAATGACCATACCGTGGATCCCTTAAGTCCCTCTTTTGACTTCGAAAGATGGTCCAGTACGATAGCTCGCCTGAGAAATGAGCTCGGAATATCTCCCCCGCCTCGATCTGGATTTTGTTTCAAGAATCTAACCATCAGTGGAAATGGTGCATCAGTCAGTGAGCAGCAAACCATTTCGACGTGGCTAGCTTGGCCATACGAAGCTTGGAAGAGGTTCCGGACCATTCCTTCCAGGACTATTCTGTATGGTCTTGATGGAGTGGTCCAAAAAGGAGAACTTCTCCTTGTGCTTGGGCGTGCTGGAAGCGGGTGCTCAACCTTTCTAAAGACGATCAGTGGCGAGATATCGAACCTAAAGGTGGAACCTAGCTCAGTGCTTCATTACTTTGGTGAGATATTCTGCAGCATCAATAGTGACGATCACTCAGCTAAGTGTATAGGCATTCCACACAAAGTTATGGCGGAGACATTCAAGGGGGAGTTGCTATATAATCAGGAAGTGGATGAGCATCTTCCCTACCTAACCGTAGGACAGACCCTCGAGTTCGCTGCAGCAATGCGCACTCCACGAACTCGGATACTAGGAGTCAGCCGAGAAGATCGAATGAGACACGCTGTGGACGTTTTGCTCAAAGTTTTCGGACTGTCACACACCCGTAATACTATCGTCGGTGATGACTTTGTGCGAGGCGTATCCGGCGGCGAGAAAAAGAGATTATCCATTGCAGAGACAGTTTTTGCCGAGGCCACGATATATGCATGGGATAACTCTACCAGAGGGTTGGACGCTGAATCAGCTCTCAGTTTTGTCAAACGGCTTCGTACTCTTTCTAATTGTAGGAGGTCCCAATTTCTCACTTTGTCAAAATCGATGGGTGATCCTAATTTTTTCTTCTTCTAGTAACTCAAGCAGCGAATGCAGCGGCC